GCCACCCAAGAGGGGGAAAGCTCTCTGGACCTTGGAAAGAAGCAATCAAAAAGTTGATGCTGTTGATGTTGCATTGGGCTTATGTTGGTGCATATGCTTCTGTGCCACCAAGGCCCCTGTCCATAGAATGGATAAACCAAACAGAGCTGCGAAATAGGAATGTAGTGTGGAGGGCACCAAGAAATCTCATGAGGGTTGGTTCAATAATAAAGAAAGTATTTGCTAATAAAAGATAATTTTTTCCATGCTATTTCCAGGGCTAATAAGCAGAGGAAGTGGAGAGAATCGATTCTACTGGTGCATGCTTGTGTATGATCAGGCCACCAAATTCAAAACACATGAGTTTTCAAAAAGTCCACAACTTGAGCCTTATAAAATGGGTTCCTTTCCCCGATTCTTGCCTGTGATCAGATAATGACCTTCGTAAGCAAAACAACCCCAGCTGTATTTCATAATGGGAATATACTTCTGTAGATTGTAATGAGCTGTTAACAGGGAACAGTATCGTGTGAAAATCTCCACGTTTCCCATGATGCTGCCCTGATTTAAAAGCCACACATAAATTATTTGGTATTTCAGATTTCAAGGTCAGGATTGGCCGTAAGATCTAGCTTTTCTCCCCCAAACCCCATGTTTTCAGCAGGCTGGAATTTAAAATAGAAAAACCTGACCTGTTGGGAACCTTGGGAGTTGTGTGGAAGTACCATGGGATCTGTGTTCCGTACCTGTAAGTGTGTGGCTGAATTGTGGGACCAGAGTGGGTGGCTGGAGTGATGAAAGGGGAAATAACACCTTTGCTCCTCCAAAACTCTCCCTTACGAGGCTTCTGTAGGAAGGCATCCCAGATCTTGCAGGCAGCCATGAGTTGGTGGGTTTGGTTGAGTTTTGGAAGGTTTCTAGCAGAGCCAGAAGCTGGTTTTCACTGCTGGGTTCAATTCCCAGGGTTCCTTTCATGGTACCAAGCAGCACATGGATAACACAGCTGGGGATCCAGAGTCATTTCTGCACTGAGGCACTTTTTCTGCTGTATGTGAATACTTGATTATTAAGCATATATTACAATCTGAATATTATTTTAGCTGCAAGTTCAGTCTCCGTCCTCTCCAGCTTTTTAGGTTTGATCATATTCCAGAGGCTTACGAAAAACATGCGAAGAATTTCAGCAAAACTCTATGGAACAGTTTTTGTTAAATTCTTTCAGTCATGCAAGCTAAATTAAATGACAGCTCTGTCCACCAAAAGATTACAAATATCAATCAGGCTTCTCCCCTAAACTCATGAAGGAATTAAATGTTTTTCTAAAAGTCTTCTATTTCCCCATAATAATCTCTTTGGATGTTCTCTTTACTTTACATATTTTTGAAGTGTGTTGAAAGGGATGATTTTTGCCCTAAAGGAGCACAGTGCTTGTAACTTGCTGACAGTATTTAATCTGAATTTTTGGGCACAATTTTGGGTATTGCTCAAATTGATATTTGCAATACCAGAGGCTTAGTTTCTGAACAGAGAAAACAGCTATTAAACTGCAGTCCAAGAAGCACGATGCTGAGTTCTTCCCGAGATGGGAGATTAATGATGAAAAGTATGTTGCAGCTCCCACTGTTTGTGTTAAAATTGGAAAAACAAGACCAGGTGTCTCAGTGGGCTGATGAGATGGTGAGCTCTTGAGTAAAGCAGTTGTAAAGAATGAGGAGTTAAAAAGATTTCAACATACGGTGGCCCGTCCAAGTCCAGCTGAGTCATTACCCTGTGTTGCTGCATCTGTTTTTGTCTGGTCACTGTACAGTTATGAGTAATTGTGTAAATCACGCAGGGATGCCCTGGGGAGCTTTCCTTGCAGGAAGGCTCAGTGCACCGTTCCCGTCTGCCTTGTTTTTTGAGCTGTGGGGAGACCACAAGACAAGCAACAAAGATGAGTATGGAGACCAGATGTGACTACCCAGTGTCCCTTGGAGTTCCTCGTGCCAATGCCCTGGCACTGCCTGCCCTACCCATCCAGAGGGTCATGGTTTAAAAGGGATGAGACTGGAAATAAAACTGAGGGACATCTTATCCATTAGGACTTTTAGTCAGGAGCAAAGGAAGTTTCTTGCTGTGGTGGTTGTGCAGATGGAAGATGAACGCCCTGCAGACCCCTCAGAGGTGCGTGCACCCAGACTCCCACAACGAGAGCTCGAGTTTACATCGCATACATTACCCTGTATTTTTGCCATTGTGGTTTAGCAAAGAGTAGATGTGACAGTAAACTCTTACAGCTGGGTGAATTGTGATTAAGTTAAAACTATCTCACTGTTACATACTACTTTAGTGATCCCCAGACTGTGTATTTTCCTGCCTTTTACCATGGACTTTAAACCACAGGACATGAATAAACCCTAATGTTAGGGTACCGTCAGCTCTGCTTGCTATTTAAGGATGGGGAATCTATGTTCGGCCCACCAAATATAATTTCATAAAACGTGCAGACCATCAGGGAGGTTGTGAAATGGTTGATGAGTGGGACTATGGCTGCTGCTCCAGACGAAGCTGAGACATTCAACAGCATTCCTGGGTCTGGATGCACCAACGGAACAAAATGGGATTCTCACCCCATGCCTGGTCTCCTGCTAACTGTTACAGTAGTTTTGTGTCATAGGCTTTGTTTCTCCCAGAGCCAGCTGTGAAATTTGACTAATTGAACCTCCCTGTGGTTGTCAACAGTTGGGGAGTACATGGCTGAGGATGGAGCTTTTCTCCTGGAAAAGGAAAGAGCAGCGTGGCACGGGGATGTCACGTTCACTCGATCCAAAGTCGGGGCCTGTGTAACGTTTCTCAGAAAGTTCCTCTTTTATTGAGCCTACGAAGGCAGAGAAATTAAGCTGCTAATTTATGGCATGCCAAGGAAAAAAAGTAGTTACACAAAAAATGCGCAGTTATTTTAATGTTTGAAAAGACACAATTGAAAAATCCTGATTTTCCCCTGCCCCCTGCTGAGCTTATTAAATCTGAAAATATCCCAAAGCTTAATTCTCTCCGCCAGAAAGTTCCTGTGCTTTTTTGGGTAAGTCATGAAAGTTGTGCCGCTGGGCTGCGCAGTGGGGTCCCGTCTGGCTTGCTCTGTGCCTTGGGTGTGGAGGAACAAGCATCCTGCAGAGGAGTGAGCATCCTGCTGCTGAGTGGCTGTGGTCCCTTCCACCAGGATGGGCGTGGGGTTTTAGTGATGGGCTTGGTTTTTTAGCAATGGATTTGAATTGGTGTGTGTGGTAATTAGCTGCTGTGTGTGGGAGACCCTCATTCCACCTTGAGCTGAGGTACTCTGTGCTGAGGGCTGCTGCTACGTGGGGCTTCCTTTGGAGAAGTCCAAGTGATGGTGTAAAGGCTCGAGTGCTGGGCACGTTTGCTTCCTGTGTGAGGCCTTTCTCCTGCTACCCCCAGCACTGCACTTGCCCTTTTGTTTGTTTGTTATTTTTTCATGATTACACCAGATTCTGGAGAGGCCTGTTAATGTCTAAACAAAACAAAATTCCTGAAAAGTGAACTTAAACAGCCTGAGTCAAAGGCTGATGAAGGACATGGAAACACATCCCTGTGATCTCTGGGCAATGAGCTGTGTTTTGCTGCCTACCATGGATGTAGGACTGACCCAGCATGGTTCTCACACTGGGCAGACTTTGGCACATGCCAAGGAGAGGTTTTGCTGCATTGCTTGATGCAGCTGGGGAACCCAAAGGGGGTCTCACATGGAGCCATTTGTTTTTCATTAAGTTATGCTCCTATAATATAAACACTAAGGTATGTGGACAGTGCTGTGGACAGGGCGAGCCAGATGCCAAAAGCATTCCTCCAAGGCTGTATAAACTTCAGCAGATAAATATTTTAGAAACTGTTTTCTAAGGCTAGCTTAATAGTTTAAAAATATAACCTAGATTCCAGATATTAAAAAATGCCTTGCAAAGCATGCATATTGCTGCAAGAGATGGAACTAACTGAACCCCTGAAGTATACGGAAAGCTCCCGTTTTGCAATATCTTCTCTGTTACTTATCCTTTTCATTATTATTTTTTTTTAGCGCTGAGATTAAATTCAAGAAGGCTTTTAACAGCAGAGTGGCAGTGATAGAAATTTTCAGCATATATTAACTGGCTGACTCACACTTTTTCAAAGGGGATCTGGGTTTATGATGAAATAGCTGGCTGCTTTCAGCAACAGCAAAATCAGAAAAGTCAGCGGGAAGAGGAAGCCGATAGCTTAAAATGTGTCTAATCCCTCCATGTGCCATGATGGGAGTGTGGGGAGCTCCCACCCATGTTTGGAAAGTAGACCTGACCCCGTGCTCAGGGGAGGCATTCAAGTCCCTGTCTCAGGGATGTGCAACCTCTCACCCTTACTTAGGACTCAGCTTTAAAACATCATTAAAAAGATGCTTTTGATTGTGTTGCTTGGCTGTCCCAAAAACTTTGATTAGCACCCTCTGTGCTTCAAGAGTGAGGAGTGAGATTTTTTAGGTTATGGTTATGGGGTGCCATAAAGACCCAGAAGATCTGCCATTTCCCTCCATGTGTGTTACTTTTCATATGGGAGATACTCGCTGAAAGCAGTTAGAATCCCTGGAACAGAGGCTCCTCTTGCTACTGTTTTTTGCCCTTCCTGGCCTAATTTTGGACTGTGTTTTATAGTGACCCCAGAGCTCTGGTGACACTGGGGTCTCTCAGGCCTGGTTGATGCACTCTAGCTCATGCAGTGCTCATGGGGCAGAAGCTGAATTGCGTAAAATGACTCAGTGTGGACTTTCCTCCTCCTTTTGTTTCTTTCCTTGAGGTTCTGTGTGCACCTTTGTCCGTGAATGAACCTGAGCTCATCAGTGCTTTGGCACAAGGAGTGCACTGGGGTCTTGTCCCGCTGTCCTGGCTCTGCTGAGCCCTGTCCCCTCTTGTCACCCCATCCTGCCATGAGCAAAGGGTGGAGCAGCAGGAAGGGTGGAGGGAAGCAGGTGAATGACTGTGGCACCTCATGTCTTTCAGCTGCTCAGAGGGATGGCTTTGCCCCGCCAAAAAGCTCCAGGCAGAACCCTGGAGGAGGAGGAGGAGAGTGGAGACTGCGACGACGAAGATGACTGCGGCCGAGGCTCTGGAGACGGAGAGCTGCGAGTGAGGAACCAGCTCCGGTTCTTAGCAGGTGATGGGGATGGTGGTACCACAGCAGCTGCCCCTCTGTGCCTTGTAGGTTTTGGTGATGGTGTGGGGAGCTGCTCCCTGGGGTCTGCTCAAGTCTGCTTGCTGCAGACACCCCCAGTGCCCTCCACAGCCGTGGCTCAGAGGCTGATGATGCCCAGCATTGTTCCAGCTCACCTCAGTGGCAGCCGAGGCAGCAACTGGAGAAGAAATGCTGCTGCTTTTCCAGGTTGGTTTTGCAGGGGTGTGTTGTGGGCAACCCATTGGAGAGGATTTGAGGCAAGTTGCAAACCTGGTGTAGGTCCCAGCCTCAGCCTCTTCTCTCCATGCTGCTGCCTGCAGTCATGAGCTCTTGAGTTGAGCCTTTCAGCTTTCTGGAGGGCATCAGAAAGTTGGGAGGGCTTGCTTGACTGCAGCAAATGATGGGTGTTTCTGATCTAGGGTTTAGAAAACTGTGGTAATTTTTTGCAAATAACTCAGGCTCATTTTGGAGAAGTGATTTAGGTGCTCAGGAGCCTGAAACTGCATTGCTTGCCAATATGAGTCATGTCTTTGGTTGCTTTGAAAATGGCCCTGAGGCACTCCTGGTGCTTTGAGGCTACGTTATTAATGAGTAGTCCCTGGTCACACATCAGGAGGAGGAAGGAAAGGACCAGTTGAGACTTGGGCAGTCACACATGCTGTTGGCTTGTGCCTTCACCTCAACCCACTAACCACTGTCATCCTGCTCCTGGCTCTGTGGAGCTCAGCAGCATCATCTGATTTGGTTGTGTGAGCAAAACCAGGCTGATGGAGGCTGTGTCCAAGGTGGATGATTGTGCTGGACATGGGTCTGCAGGCTGGAGGCTTGGCCCAATTAATGCTGGTTTCAGTGCTATGTGGGGCACTTTGAGAGACCAGACAACTGAACCTGGATAAAATCAGCTTTACAGCTTTGAAGTTTAAGAGGCAAATTTGGGCTCCTAAACGAAGCACAGATGTTTATAAATTCCCTTCCATTGGTCTGGGATAATTAAAATATCCTTAATGAAGTGAGAGCTGAAATATTAAATGCCAGTCTTATATCAAAGATTATTGACACATTATGTAAAGTGCATAAAATACATATATTCAAATATTGACTAAGGGAAATAAAGAACTTTTTAAGTCCTACAGTCCAAGTCTGAAAGAGAAACACAGAATTCAGAGAAGGATAAAATATACTTTATTTTGTCCAAGAACTAAATATCAAAGTGTGGGTTAAAGAAATACAGGTGATTCACAGTGTCCTGTGTCGAGAGCAGAGATACGTGTTTCATTTTCCGTGATCTTTGTGTCACACCTTGATGCTATTTTTTAATGTGTTTCTAATTTCCTCTTAAAACCTTCCCCATAATATCATCAGTGATCTCTGAAGCCGGATATATAATCCTTTCTGCCTTTTTCTGCCTCTCTAGGCTAGTTTAATCACTGTATTGATCTCCCTGACAACTTGCCCGTCTGGCAACTTAGACCCCTCTTGTCACTGTGGTGTGTGAACATGTAGTAGGAAAAGAGGACTTGTCCTCCCTTCTTCCCTGTGCTGCTCTGCTGGAGGGTGTTTGTTGCTGCCTTTGCTACAGAATGGGTAAATATTAACTTTTGGGTAGCAGTGTCTTTGGGGCATGGTGTTCCTGGCAGGTTAAGTCTTTCAGGTTGCTGAGAGTGTGAGGTTTATCCAGCACAGCTTGAAGGCACTGACTGAGCTCAGAGGGCATGAGCTGTACCATCAGGGAGACCGTGCCATAATCCTCCTTTTTGTGTTTTGCTTTAGAGCAGAAAGGTGAAGCTGATCTGACAGCGACAGAATCCTATTTGGTTGGTATTGGATATAAACTGTGACTCTGTTCAAGTTTTATGTTGGAAACCAGCCCAGGAAAAGTTGCTGATGGTGTGGAAATACTCACTTTCAACATTTTTGAGAATGATATTTCTTTTTACTTTGAAAGGATATTTTTCAATTAAATTTTTTTTCCCATCATATCACATGTACATAGCAAGAAATAAAAGGGACCAAAAACCATTCTGCATTCCCCCCCTGTCCACAATTTCTAAATTTTAGGGTAGCAGGCCGATTTGAAATTATGCCAGGCTTTAAATCTGGAAATAGTTTGCAAAATGAACTTTTACATTTAATGTGGCTCTATCTCTCTCCTTCCCAAGGTGGTTACCCTGTAATAGAGGCAGAAAGGACTGGGAGTGGCTGTGGTTGTGTTCCTGAGTCCCTGGTTTTATCCCATGCTGGATGCTCTGCAGTGTTAAGGCAGGAGCATGGCTGGCTGGCTGGGGGAGTCTGTGTCAGCACAGTGGTCAAACCCAAACCCCCTCTCTGGGCATGTTTGAGTGCCTCTGCTGACCCTCGGAGGTTTGCTGTCAGGGAATGCAGTTTGGGGTTTTGCTTTCCTTTTCTTAGATGCCTTGTTCATCTTAGGAGGAAATTTCCTTGGCCCCATGAGGGCAGTGGAGACCTCCTGCCTTCCAAAGGGTTTCCCGAGCCTTGCAGATGGACTTGGTGATGCCCTGGGGAGGACGAGAGGCGAATGCCTTGGGCTGGCACGGAGTTTGACTGTCTGTTGAGTCAAAACATTAGCAAAGCTTGCCACCTCTGAGGTCTTTGCATCTCTTGGATGCAGTGGGAATTTCTCCTGCTCCCCAGTGTGGGTGCCGCTGGTCCTGCCAGCTAACTGCAAACATCTGGTGAGTCCTGGCCTCACTGAGATGTCCCCTCAGAAGGTCTTGAAAATAAGGAGATGAAAAAAAGAGCAAAAGGAGAAAAAAGAGTCAGTCTCAAATACAGACTAGTTTTGATTTATCGCCTGTTGTATAAAATGTAACCTTTGTTTCCTATTTATAATGAGCCTGTAATAACTGGACAGTCAACTTAAACTTTAATGATTTAAACATACTTGTAAACTGTCAAGTCAAAAGTTTGTGAGTGACTATAAACATATGTTGGTGAGCCCTATATGCTAATAAATTCATTATTATGTTGCCCCAGAGGGAAACACGGAGATGGCAGGCTTTTTTTTTATGATAGGTTTTTTATTGTTTGTCACATCTGCAACACATTAAGGGTTTTGAAGGCAGATGATGTTTACAATAAGGGGGAGGACTGAAAACCTCCCAGCTCAGAGAAGAGTGCATCCTGTTTGTCAATGGAGTAGCGATGGAGCCGGCACCCTGGCCGTGCAGCTCTGAAAATAGAGCTCTGTACATACACACACATGTATTTATGCCACACCAATGGCAAATCATGTCTGTGAATGAATTATAGTATTTTCCCCCAAATTATGAGTCAGTGCAAATGTCTCCCAGGCTCTACAACACAAACGTGCTCACAGCCCTCTGGGATCAGTCATCCTGCATCCTTTGGGGCACCCGAAGCAAACAGAGCCCAGGGTGGCTGGTGCTTTGCTGATGCTCCAACCAGCCACCCACTAATTAGCTCAGCTCTGGTGTGCTCAGTCCAGATGCCACTTACAACCAACAAGGTCGTTGCCAGGAAGCCTGGAAATAAAATGTGGGTGCTGGAGAGGCTCCTGTGCCATGTGGGCAGCTTTATCAAGTGCTGGGGGGAGAGGAGGTGCAGGCTTTTCAGGGGGTTTACAGAGGTGGTGTGGTCCAGCTCAGCTGTGCAGGTAGGCTGTGCCCTGGGCATCTCACAAGGTTTTCTGGGAGGGAAATAATCTCTTTTTAGTAGCTGAAGCACCCAGGGAATGTTCTGAGTAAACCGGCAACTGTGGGGGAAGGGTTTGGGAGGCTGAGGGGAAGATTTACCCTTCCAAAATATCTGTGTTAGGCAGTAACAAAAGTTGTCTTGGGAACAGATGGATTTGGCAGAATTAAGTAGAAATAGTTTGTCCTGGGAAGGGAAGTTGGCCCCATCCCATGAGATATGTAAGGATAGATGTGTGCAATAAAGATATATAAAGATGACTCTGAAAGTTTGTGTGTGTAAAACAGCTCCCCTGCCTGGCTGCTCCTGCTGAATAACCTGCAGTTAGTTTTTCCTCTCTGCTCTCCCTTGGCTATTTCTAAGGGGGAGAGGGAAGCCCTGAGTTTTCCTGCACCCTGCCCATTTGCTGCCTGGGCAGGACTCTTTTGTGTGTTTGCAGTGATCCACACAGCACCCAGATGCTTTGTGAAAGATCAGCACAGTGTCCCCCTTGATTTACTCAGATCTGTAACTCTTTAGTAACGTTCTGGCTTGCTTTGCCACTGATTTATTCTCTTGGCAGGGCTTTTTTGAGTGCTCTCATCAAATGGCAGGCTTGAGTATTGCCTCTGGGCTGGCCGAGCATGGCCTGTTCCCAGGTGGAAAAGCTGTTTGTTGGTAACCCCTTTATATATGTCACAAAGGTGTTGTTGCTTCCAAATGGGAATGTAGGCACCTTGTAGAGCAGGTGAGGTCTCCAGCAGCCACCTTTCCAGAGAGAAAGGGCAGCTGTGTTTGTGCACTGACCGTGCCCTGTGTGGGCACAGGGTGGGACCCTGTGTTTTCTGCCTCCCACCATGTTTTTGGAAGGTGCTCTGAACGCCATGAGTTGCAGATTTCATCCTATTCTGCTTTTAAACGTCTCTAAATGTCCCAGTAAGCATTTCATGTTTTAGGGGTCTCTGTGCTGAGATGGCATTCCTCTCCTCACCCTGTTTTCTCCCAGGTTTGTTATTTTAGGAGGGTGCCATCAATCTGAGCTCCTTCCCTGAGCAGGGAACAGGAGATGTCTCTGCTACAATGACATTTAAATTGCTTTTTCATGGAGTGCAAAAGCCTGCTCATTTTGGGGATCGAGCAGTGGTTTCCTTGCTGAGGTGGTGGCTGTGTGTGGCAGTGGGTGATGCCAGACAGGGTCTTTTTGGGTGCTGCCCTCCTGGTTTCTGCAGCTTGTTCCTGTGGGAAAGGTTCCTTAGAAGTGAGTATTTGTGTTGAAAAAGGGGGCACTCCCAACCTGGGAGGAGTGATCAGAGTCTGCTGGGGCTCACACC